GTAGAGACGATAGGCCGGTTGTTTATGCCTGGAAGTCTCTCCTATCCTCCGCTGTAAGGTCTCACAATATGTAATGACTGTACCTCCCCCCTATTTTGCTTAATGAAATTCAGGTGGGGAAGCTCTCCCCCCGGTGAAATTTCTAAAAAAAACTAATCAACCGTGTAGTCTATTTGGCATGTTCATTTTACTATCATTTTCAACGCTACCAAATTCTAACAATTAGTAAATTTCAGCACAATTTGGTAATACCCAGGAATTGGCAAGGTAAAAAAATTCAGGTGCTGTTTAGTTCGTTACTTTCTTAAATATGTTTTATGGCATGGTGGGATGTGATTGGTATGATAATAAACTGTACATGCCCTATATAATTTTCAAAAGCATGTTTACATTTATAGCCATGACACCTGCTTAAAACAATTTATGGAAACTTCTTTAAATCGCAAAAGAAGGTGACAAAAAACGGCGGCTCCATTTGCCGTTACTCCAAACGTCAAGTTCATGTGGCAGCCTGGCAAGAGCGTCCATGGCCGTTTCGCTCACGAGGGCTCACCGTGAACCGGGTCCAGAGAGCGCCGGTCCACGTAAAAAAGCAAACCGCTCAGCCAGCCCAGCCCAGCCCACGGGCCGTGGTCCCGGTCCACCACTCCTCCCACCCTCCCCCTCTCTCTTTCTCTCTCCTCCGCCCTTTTATCTCCCGATCTCTCACATTTTGGAAAGAAGAGAGAGAGAAAGAGAGAGAGAGAGAGGCCGCTTCTCTAGTCTAGACCAAAGGAAGGAAACCAACCGAGAGGCGAGGCGAGGAGAGGAGAGGAGAGGAGAGGAGGAGGAGGAGGGAGGAGAAGATGAGAGAGATCATCAGCATCCACATCGGCCAGGCCGGGATCCAGGTCGGCAACGCGTGCTGGGAGCTCTACTGCCTCGAGCACGGCATCGAGCCCGATGGCACCATGCCCAGGTGACGATGAATCCCCCCTCCCCCTCCCCCAACCTCTTCTTCTTTGATCCGTAGATGCATTCCTGTTCCTGATCTCGGGAGGCGGCCCCGCGTTCCCCGGCTTCGTTTGATCTGGTAGCCCCGGTTGAGTTGCGTCCGAAATGCCAGATTTGTTTCGCCGTCTGTTTTTTTTTGTGTGTATGTGTTTTTTTTGGGGGGAAATTGTTTGCTTCGGCGGAGCGAACGATGGGTGCAGCCTTCCGCTTGTACTTCTCGTTTGGACTCTGCGGATTGGTTTTGGCCGAACCTTCTTGGTGGTTGGTGCATCTCCTTGCCGGTTGGTGAGGGGATTGCAAGGGACAGGACGAACACCGTGCGTCTCGGAGGAAGGGAATTTTAGCCGTAGTTTTTACGCTCTTTTTTTTACCGTTTGGAATTATATGGAGGAATGCGTTTGATTTTCTCCGGAGTAGACTGTAGATTTGCGTGCTGGTTGCATGTTTACAAGTTGGCAATTGGGAGTTTCCAGAGTTCTTTACGGTTCTAGATCTGCGAATTTACTTGTGGGGTGATGCTTAGTAAATAATGTCACATGGAAGCTCTGAGTGTCAGACTGAGCACGTAGATCGTCCTAGATTGGAGAGTTTAATCTGGGTTACTATTAAAAGCGGCATCCTCCACTATCGAGGAGGATTTGTTTTGTTGGTTTTACTTTGCTTGGTGTAAGAATTGAGTAGATTATTGAATCATAAACAATTGTGCTCATGCTGCCTTGCCTGAGAATTAGATTCCATTATATTATCATGGATGTAGCCCGCTTTTTGTAGGCAGCTCTGGTAGACTGTAATTTATTTGGTACTGCATAGGCTAATGATTAGAATTATCAGTCAGTTTTGATTTCTAAACATTGTGCTGTTTGCTCTTGGTGCAGTGATACAACGGTTGGCGTCGCACACGATGCGTTCAACACTTTCTTCAGCGAGACGGGCGCTGGCAAGCATGTGCCCAGGGCCATCTTTGTCGACCTGGAGCCCACTGTCATCGACGAGGTGCGCACTGGGTCGTACCGTCAGCTCTTCCACCCTGAGCAGCTCATCTCTGGGAAGGAGGATGCCGCTAACAACTTTGCCCGTGGCCATTACACTGGTAATTCAGCTTAGAGTTCATACAAGTGTTATTCTATTGCAACTGTGCATGTGTCTTGTTCTCATTGTTTGTGGAATGCAGTTGGAAAGGAGATCGTAGATCTATGCCTGGACCGTGTGCGCAAGTTGGCAGACAACTGCACTGGGCTGCAGGGATTCTTGGTGTTCAATGCTGTTGGTGGTGGAACTGGATCAGGACTTGGTTCTCTTCTGTTGGAGCGTCTCTCTGTTGATTATGGAAAGAAGTCCAAGCTTGGCTTCACAATTTACCCTTCCCCCCAGGTATAACTTAATCTGATCCATGTTAGTTGTACTCTGAGGGAAAAAATTAAATAAAATGCTCTATACCAGAAACTTGAAATTTTCAGGCTGGTGTAGAATTAATTTATTTGGACACCTGCTTAGATATGGGCCATGTTATCAGCCACTTCTTTTTCTTGTTGTTGTGAGTTGTGCATGGCAATATATTGATTATTGGATCTGCCAACCATTCTCTAATTAGTATGTGGACTAATAAACTGCTGGCCTGGCTGCCTGGCTGGTGGGGATCTACCTATATGGCTATACAATATCCCTATCTTATGTAGACTCTTTAGTGAACTTTTATGGACTATTAGTCTTCTTCGCGAAGTCTGTAATACCATGCATTGTATGAGCCAGCATTATCCTAGTGTACTGTACCAACTTTCCATGTGATGTGGGCCTTTCAGCTTGTTCATGTGATGAGTGGGTTTGCTTTGTCTTAGCTGTTGTGGGGACAATTTGGGTAGAGTTGTTGTACAATTATTTAAAGTTCATCATATCATTATCTTCTCGTCTTATGCCACTCTGGTTTGCAGGTCTCAACAGCTGTTGTAGAACCATACAACAGTGTCCTCTCCACCCACTCCTTGCTTGAGCACACTGATGTGGCAGTTCTCCTAGACAATGAGGCTATCTATGACATATGCCGGAGATCCCTTGACATCGAGAGGCCAACCTACACCAACTTGAACAGGCTCATCTCACAGATCATATCTTCACTCACCACCTCTCTGAGGTTTGATGGCGCTATCAATGTGGATGTCACTGAGTTCCAGACCAACCTTGTCCCATACCCTCGCATCCATTTCATGCTTTCATCCTATGCCCCTGTTATCTCTGCTGAGAAGGCTTACCATGAGCAGCTTTCTGTGCCTGAAATCACCAATGCTGTTTTTGAGCCCTCAAGCATGATGGCTAAGTGTGACCCTAGGCACGGGAAATACATGGCTTGCTGCTTGATGTACCGTGGTGATGTTGTTCCCAAGGACGTCAATGCCGCAGTTGCAACCATCAAGACGAAGAGAACTGTCCAGTTTGTTGACTGGTAAGCTGTCTTCATCACTATTTTAGTTGCGCTTATTTTAATCACAGGCAACCTATCCACTTGTTTATCAACACCTGATTGGCTAACCAACTGTTTATTGCTTCTCTTCCTCCACAAAGGTGCCCTACTGGATTCAAGTGTGGCATCAACTACCAGCCACCCTCTGTTGTCCCTGGTGGTGACCTGGCTAAGGTTCAGCGTGCAGTGTGCATGATCAGCAACAACACTGCTGTTGCTGAGGTTTTCTCGCGCATCGACCACAAGTTCGACTTGATGTATGCTAAGCGTGCGTTTGTGCACTGGTACGTTGGTGAGGGAATGGAAGAAGGTGAATTCTCAGAAGCCCGTGAGGACTTGGCTGCCCTTGAGAAGGACTATGAGGAAGTCGGCGCCGAGGGTGCAGACGACGAGAACGACGATGGAGAAGACTATTAGTAGCTGGTTAATAAGTAGTTCTCTGGTTAATGATTGGTTTGTCAGTATACTCCGGTTCCGTTGCATTGCATATTCCTGTTATGTGTGTTTACTTTTTGTACTGTGCTAAACTGTTGTTAGCCCCTCGTTGGCCATGATTGTTCATATCTTCCCATTTTGCTGTGCATTGCTTGCTACTCCCCCCCAAGCTTGGTACATATGCCATTCTGAGCTGAATTGCAAAACTGTATGCTCTCTATGCATGGTCCAATGGAGCTATGGATGCTTTCTTCTATTAATCTCTCTGCGCGTTTACTCCTTAGTTGCATGTGAATTGTGAAACATGAGATGCTGAAGAAACACAAGGATGGCAGCATCTACTGCTTCTAGGTCCTAAATATCTGATACTCTGAGCTACAAATCTGAGCTCGAGTAAAGAGATCAGCAACTTGGATCCATACGTTCACAGGACCAATCTGAGCTCGGTTCAAGGGGTAATTAGCAAGCAAATGCAGGAAGATAGCTGGTGGTATTCCCTTTGTCCCAATGTGGTGTCTCCATATGCCTGTATCACCGTTACATGTTTAATAGGGTGTCCTTGATCTGCACTACAGAAGATTGGAACCAAGCGATCTGGCGGCTGGCTGGTGCACCGCAGCGCCAGTGGATATCTGCTGGTTGGGACGGGAGTACGGGACTTTGGTTGGTCAGGTAGTAGCCTCGAGATACCTGAAACAGGTTGTCACATATTCAAGCCTCCCAAGGCCGGCCTGTTCCCGTTTTTCTGTAGTCACGATCACATGGTACCAATTATGCTTAGCCATTGTCGCTGTGTAGTTTAGCTGTCATAGGATCAAGTGAGGTGAATTATCGGTGGGTGATGCGAACCTAAAGTAGATTAACTGTGTCTCCTCACTTTCGTCTCCGGGAACGAGCATGGGTTTAACTATTTCATTAAAGGACGGTGATGGAGATCATTTTTTTTAGCCGTACCGTTTTTCCGTAGGTCTGAAACGATTTTATTCATACTCACCTTCTTACCGCCACTTTTCCATGACAATCCTTGCTATTTAGTACTACTTCAAAAGGAGCTTCCAAGGGCAGCTCCAGTGTATGTTCGATTACTGTAGTTCGTGAACAACGAATGCAACTTTGGTTCGGTGGCTGCAGTGTGCACATCGATTTATAGGACTCACATACAGCAAGAAAAGTTAAGGGGAAAATGTAAATTATTTGATTGGGCTCGAATATGTTCAACCCCATCAGCAACAAATAATACTTTAATTGTCTAACACTAACTCAATTTTGGAGATCGATTTTGCTATCTGACACACAACAATCGACTCTCCCAGTGTGCTGTCTCCGATATACTCAGTTCGATTTCTGCACACATTGGAGCTGCTCCAATAGTGACATCAGACATACAGCCTCAGTTGATGAGGTCGGACACCCAGGCAACGTCGAGGCTAACACTGGCAGCGGCGGTGACGGTGACGGTGACGGTGGCGGCGACGGTGGAGATGGCACCATCCCGGCTTAGCCGCTCGAATACCTTCTCATGGGGGCTCTCCCGGACTCCAACTCTCTCGACTGGCTCCTCGTCACAGATGAGCCTGAGGTCCAGTGGCTCCAGTCTCCAGATTGGGTACTTGGGCATGAAGCGGGAGGCGGTGGTCGGTGGTCACCGTTGCCGTGGAAGCCGACGGAGTGGTTGGAGGATGTAGAGGCCAGTGACGGCGCACGCGTACATCCGCTACTCATTGCCTTCGTACTTTTGCGGCGCCGCGGAAGTCCGGTAGAGAAGGAAGGAGAGAAATAGTGTAGGATGACAGATGGGCCTCACTTTATATTTTTAATTTTTCTATGACCGGGCTATCACGTCGCGAATACCATTTTCAGTATTGTTCTGATAGTTAGTACTCCCTTAGTCCTAAAAAAATTTAAATCTAGGACTAGATATAACACATTCTAGTACAACGAATCTGGACAGATGTATGTCTAAACTTGTTGTATTAGGATGCAATTTTGCTATATATTTGTCGACAAATTTTCCTCCAAAAATTTGACAGATGTAATTACAGTACAATCGTAGTGTAATTACACTGTAACTTGCATGTAATTACACTGTAGCTATAATATAACTTGTATATAACTTTCAAAAATCTCTTCGTAACATGTTATTTCGGTAAAATAGAGATCGCGGGAACAAATCCTTTCACATATGTGTGTGTTGTGATTTTTTTTCTTCTTCGCCAAAACAAATCTTATAATAGATCTAACAATTCAAAATTACGGAAACTTACATACAAGTTACACTGTAGTTACATGCAAGTTACAGTGCAATTATACTACGATTGTACTATAATTACATTTGTCAAATTTTCAGAAGAAAATTTATCGATAAATATATAGGTAGTCCTGATCCAGTATTAGATTGGTTTTTTTATAGGACGGATGGAATAAGTCCAAAGAAAACAACCTCCTAGAACGGATGGAGTATTTTTGGTTTTGACAGTTAATTATAACTATCTTTTTCCCTCGCGAGTCGCCACTCGGCAGGCAGGCAGTGCGTCATGGCCCAAGCCCAAAGTCATATATATCTACGTGTTCTTTGGGCCGCCTAACCACGTGTCCAAGCCACGGCCCACGAGTCGAAATGAGAACATTCTGGGCTGGGCCGCAAACATTCGGCCGGCTATTTCCCGCGCGTACGCACGCAGCAACCGAGATTACTGGCTGACACGGCGGATCAAATATTCAAATCAAAGGCTCAAACTTGCGGTGGTTGAAGGCTGAAGCAGCTAATTCTTTGTCCTGCTCTCTTCACCCAAAACAGGAGGCTGGAGACATTTTAGAACTGTTCAACATGGAGTTTTCTGTACCGAACAAGCGTGTAAGCGTGTAAGGAACCTTTTCCCCTCAACACTTAGAATGGAGTGGTAGATTAACACATGATTAATTAAGTATTAGTTAAAGAAAACTTGAAAAATAAATTATATGATTTCTTAAAGCAACTTTCTTATAGAAAAGTTTTAAAAAATACACCGTTTAGCAATTTAGGAAACGTGCGCACTTCCAAAATGCGACGATAATTGTTTGGTTATCATGGTTACTAGTCTTATTTGACCTGTTTAGATTTAGAAATTGCTTGGTAAGCCTACAATTTCAATAAAACCCAAAGCGAGAATTAAATTATTGATAAAATTTGTCTGATTCTTGCCAGTAACCGTTTGGTTATCATGGTTATCGACGAAACCAGTATGGAGCAGTTTTCGACTACCGATTGTCCGATTGCATTTGCAAACCCTGATTCTGTCTTTCGAGTCCCGTCTTGTCGAAGGATATAAATCAAAAGCAAAACAAACGGAAATGCTTCAAATAACTAACAATTGATTCGAGTCATATCTGAGCAAGTTTATTAGTAGCTGAGCACCTTTTCTTTTTCCTAAGATGAGGTTGTCACCTGCTCTTTTCAGTTCTCACCTGCTTTGCATTCTTTACTGAATATATTAGGCTCGTCCCGGAGTTCTGTGGCCTTTTCCTGACCATTGCAATAGAAAATCTCTCCTCTTCTTGTCATGGTGCGTGCGTTTGTATGTTCCAGTGTCGTAAGCAACAGCAGTATTTCTTCTGCTCTCGTGGAGCTCAGCCATTTGGAGCTGCAAGTTGCAGATAAATCGTTAATAATTCAGGTTAAACTGAACTTTTGGACTGACCTCATAATTTATCAGTAATTTCCCCCCAGTTGGAATTGAAGATATTGGTTATAGAATTTCAGGAACAGCCAAAAGATTTGGTCGGATTTCAAACGAGAAACTACCGGTGCATTTTAGTTCTTGTAAAAATTTTGATAGGGAAAACCTTTCAAATCGGCCCTTTTATTTTTGTGGGCGGTAAAATATTTCAAATGTTTTAACTTGTCAGTGCACAATAAACTTGCACAAGTTTCAGGGTTTTTTTTATAGCAATGCAACAGTATTTATTATCTGCATTGCACTTAAAATCCATGCTCATGGAAAAGATTAGAGCTTGCCATTTTGCTCATCAGAATCCAATCTCAAACACTTGAACATATATATGAACTACTCTACATCTGAATTTGGTTTTACATACATAACAAACGACTTGAACTTACTGCATAGAATCTCTAATCTATCCTGAAGTGAAAAACTAAAGCAAATTGCACAGAAAAAATAACCAATTGTCCAACTCGAAACAAGTAGAATCATCTTCCTCTTTGAAACTGCACTGCCTGGCTGCAGCAAAAAACCAATTGAGCTTACATGGACATGCATGGGTACAGCTGATCCAGGAGGCAACAAAAGAGCAAGAACGACGACGGCGAGTCGGCGAAGGAAGCACATACGCCGGCTGCCGCCGGCGGCGACGGCGGCCGGAGGTGAGACACACACGCGCTAATGGCACAGTGGCGAGAAATCCCAGAACGGGTCGCAGGCGGACGCGTCGAACACCTTGTCGAAGTACTCCTGCAGGCCGTTCATGGCGTACAGGGACGCCGAGATCCGCCGCTCCACCTTTATCCGCTCGAACTCCGCCATCTCGACCGGCGGCGTGCCGGCGCTTGACTCCTCCGGCGACGCCGTTGCTGGCGGTGGCGTGACGGCGTCGACGGCGGCGAAGCTGTCCAGCTCTGGGAACGGGCCGAACGCCGTGTCGAACATCCAAGAATCGAACTCCTCGGCGCCCGCGTGGACGAAGTCCGGCCGGTACACCTCGCTGGCGTCCGTTGGTGCGCCGCCGCCGCCGCCGCCTTGCTTCACGGCGCCGTCGCAGCTGTCCGTGCTGCTGCTGCTGCTGCTCGAGCCACCACAAGCACTACCCGCACCATCGCTATTGCTATTGCTTGTGGTTGTGATCGTCGGAGTGGCCGCCGCCGCCGCCGCCGTGGTGGACCTCTTCTTGGATGCGGCGCCGGGGGAGCCGGCCGTGGCCGCGGCGGCGGACCTGGCCTTCTTGAGCTTCTTGTGGTGGAGGATTCCGCGGATGCGGACGGCGAGCGGGCAGTCCGGCGAGATGCGTGGCGCGAAGTTGGTGCGCGCCTCGGCGCCGCGGAGGAGGCGCGCGGCCTCGTCGTAGGCGCGCGCGGCGGCGTCGGCGGTCTCGAAGGTGCCGAGCCACATGCGGATCTTCTGCGTCGTGTCCTTGATCTCCGCCACCCACCGCCCCGACGGCCGCTGCCGGACGCCGACGAACTTGCTGTGGCTCGTGCTGCCCTTCTTCCTCCCCCGCGGCTTCGTCGGCTTCGCCGCCGGCGACGCCGCCGCCGCCACCTCTTGGCTGTAGTAGTAGCAGTAGTCTTGCAGCTGGAACACTGGAGGTTGCACTTGGAAGTTGAGCTCCATGTGTTTGTGTGTGAGCTTGTGCTTTTTTCTTGGTTTTTTTGATGTTTTGGTTTGAGAGAGTTAGGGTAGGAGACACAGGTGTCTGTGTGCCAACTGCTTGCTCTCTGCTTGATGGCTTGATGGTTGGCATTTGGCAAAGGTGAGAATTTATAGAGGATTTGTGAGAAATATTGTAAGGGCATCATGCCAATGGTAGTGCCCCTGTGGGGTTACTTTCAGAGTATCAGTTTCAGTCTTCCAGGTTTGGTCAAATTATGTTGTAGTTTCTGTTGAAGCAAATGTTCGATTTTATACATTATCTAAAAAATGGGTTTAATCAAATCATGGCCTGTCTACTTATGAATTATTATCAATCATATGATCCTGTCATTTTTGTATGTTACTGTGTGTCCATGGAAAATGAAGTATGTATTTGCACATAGTAACATAAGGCAAATTTTGTTGGGATGTTTTTGTCTTGTCAATTTGTTCTGTTTCATGTATTGTCTGTCAGAAACTATGGCAAAGGTAGTGGCCTCCCTGTCTCTGTAATTGAATCAACAATTTGGGATGCTTGTAGGCTTGTAGTGCATCACCACTAAATTTGACCTTTGTATTTTCTGTGATTCTGATTCTTTAAGATAATATCATGATTCATTTGATCTGTTCAGTGATTGGATGAACTTATCCAATATATCTGAAGATATCTCTACCGAGTTTAGTCAATTATTTGAAAATATAAAAAGTATATTTATTTTTGCTTTTAGTCAATATGGCCAGTTTTTTTCCCAGTATCTCCTAAACTTTACATGCATGCGAGCAATAAGTTATGGTAATCAATAGGAATTAGAACGAACATGCTCCCAAATTAACCTGGAAGCAAAAGTCAAGGAGTTTGCATTTCTTAATGTTCTTTTACAAGGTCTAAACCGGAAAGCATTAGCTTAACTGAAGCATTTGGGCCACTAGTTAGACTAGTTCTTCCCTAATTGGTGGGTATGTATTTAATCAATTAATCTAACCAAAACCACTAACATGAGACCAAGTCTTCCATTGCATGAAAATGTGCCATTTGGCAGAATTTGAGAGAATGATTACAAACAATGAAAATACAAACTACTAAACATCAACTTTTCATCAACGCCGCTCAACTTGTGTTTTTGTATTGTCAGGTCATTTGACAACTTCCCCATCAGCCAAGTCTTTCTCCTTCACTGGATGAGGCAGTCGTTCTCTGCTAGTTCAATGTTGGATACCTTTCAATTTCCGGAGCATCTTTTCTACAGACATAAGGATTAAGGAAAACTGTGACAGCAGCCGTCCCAGTGTGTTTTTAGTACTATATCTGTACGAACTACGAAAACCAGTACTTCTGTACTTCTAGAGCTTACGGGAACAATAGTTCGAAGAGAACTTTTACGATGTTTGCATTCCAAAAAAAGGTATAGATCCAACGCTACTCAATCACAGGTATCATGTAAAAGGTATTTAAGTATTGGTATAGATACTTAAGTACTAAGGATAAAAATATAATTTTACTAGTACAGAAAAAGGGTAGAATTATCTCCCAAATTAGAATCAGTACTGCGTAGGTACTACCGTATGAGTTAACATTTCTCCGGTACCAGCTTTATAGGTTCTTATTTGCGTATTTTCTCTTTTGTATGGTTTCCTCTAAATTTACGTTGTATCTGAGTTAAGTCATTTAGTTGGCACCAGCGTTACAGGTTCTTAAGTCGCATCATTTTATCTAGAGTTACTCTGTTCTTTGATGTTCTTTTTTACGTGGTTTTCTCTAGATTTACATTGTGTTCTTGTAACCCATACATGTCAATCAGATCTTGCCTCCTGTTCAAACGCTCGACCATGCCAGATCTTCTTCCTCGACCGTATCTCCTTGTGGGTGCACCCGTTCAAACACTAGATGCACCCGTTCAAACACTAGAAGAACACCAGAGGAGTAGATCTCGTTTACTATCCCACAAAAATTCCAGTCCCTTATATAAGAAATTTATGAGCTACATAAATAACTAATCAATTGTGTAAATAAACATAGGATAACTTATAGATGCGCTAGCTTGCGCCTAGTCGTCGACCGGGCGATCTCATCTCCTCTTCATCCCTCAACCATGCAGACGCTTTTTCCTCTGTCTCCTTCTGGGGAACCGTTCAAACCCTAAATCAAGAACGAAGCGAAGGGAGAGAAGAAAGGAGATGCGATCTTTCTGTTTATTTTGATACAGAACAATTCGTTGCTAAATCAACAGCGTATCTGTGATTTACTTTTTTTTTCCTCATGGTATACCGATCTGCACAACGATTTACTGATAGATTGGTGTAAGTATTCAATTCACGTATAATGCCCATGTTTTACTAGTTAATTACTCCACTGCTATAATGTTACAGTAATTTTGTTCCATACCTTGCCCCTCTCTTGATCAATGGTACACGTTGTTTCACCTCTAGGTACCTCTAAGTACCTCGCAAACACCGTAAAAGGTCTCTAGTTCGAAAGCTAACTTTTGAGTATCTACAAAGGAATAAGGAACCGAGAGGTATCTTATTTTTATGTAAAATTTAGCAAGTCTTGATATATATAGTGGTACTTACTTTAGGATCAGCAATTCAGCATGCATTTATGATCAGAGCTACACACTTGGAGTCGGTCACCAACGAACTATTTCTATTTCAACTCTTGAGATGACACACTAGTAGAAGGTTATGCTGGTCTTTTCCTTAGATTTATGAGAGGGGGGACTTAATTTTTTTCCCTATTATTATGTTTCTTACTTTATCCGAAGTAGTATGTATGCACATAGTATAGAGGCTGAAAATGTAAAGCTTTTTTCCATTATCTAAAAAAACTTACTCAATGACTGTAAAATCACTCAAAAGCTAAAGCAACCGTGATGTTAGAAGCTTTCTCTAACCTTGGAAGCGAAGTTATCAAAACAATAATAATGATAATCTTGAAAGCAAAAGCGACACCACTACTACTTAAACAGAACAAGTCTTTTCTTTTGAACCCAAGAACGGAAAGACACTCTAGAGAGGATTAATAAAATTGTGTAAATGTTGGTTGCCGCTAGGCATTTCATTCATCATCACCTGAGAAAAGGTAAGCGTGATGGAGCGGCATGTTAGTCCTCTCAATTTTAAAAGCCATGCCAACCTCAGCTATCAAAAAGGCGAGTTTTGTCAAATTGTCATCACCTGCCGTGCCTACAGTTTTCAATCTTGTGCTTGCTTGTTCAAATGAGCAATAGGCTACACTGCTAGAGCACTCATGGATGTTTTGTTGTTTTCTACTCGGGATGACTCCAAGAGGTTCTTCCCAATGAACTTGTGTTTTCTTTAGCGTAGCAGATGCCATATTTGTCGCTGTCAATGTGCAATTTCTTGTCGAGCCTGATGGACTATATCTCCTCAAGCAAAAGACAAAAGAACGCTTTTTGGGGCAGCAGGAGAGGTCAAGAGTGAGCATCTTCTCAGCTCTTGTTTAAGCTCATTCCAGTCTTCGAGATTTGTCTTGTACTGGGAGCCGCCATGAGCTTGGAAATGATGGAGATGTTCCAGTTATAATTTAGGAGCTAATCCTCTCATGACTAATTCAAATTCAACTTCTGATGTCAAGCCTTGATACAGGAAAAGATTATCTGAAAGATACCTTTTGAGTATTTTGTTTTGGCTGATTCCAACCTGTTGACGCATGCATAAATTGCATATGCAACTTGCACTATTGTTTTCTGATTAGCTGAGGAAAACTCAAAACGAGGACCGTTTTGAAGTTGCGACATACGCAAAGAAAACGTCTCAGAAATACCTCAGTTAGCTGGGAAGCATTTCCTGCAGCAAAATACCTCAAGTTAGCTGGAGAGGATTACCTGCAGGATGCAGCATCTTGGGTGATAAACAGTATCGTTAGTGGATGACAAACAGCATCGTTAGGGCAATTCATGCTTGGTTAATGATGAACGCAGCTTTCAAGATTCCTTGCGAATCTTTCGCTCGATCGACCACAGATTCCTTGATACCCAGTCGTATGAAGACAAAGCGAAAAAAATGCCACCCTGTGGTGTAAAATATTTGGCACGGTATTCATCAGCGAAGAAACATGCTCAGCACAAATAGAGAGCAATAATTATTAAAAACTGCAGGGAAGCATCCACAAAAATATGATAACTTCATTACCAAAACTGGCGCAGCATCTGTTCAGCTCAAACTGACAACAATATCACCATTTCACTTACAACCTCTGATGCAGCACATCCCAAAACCATATCTGAGTACAAGATAATATACACACTCTACATCAAAACCATATGAAATGGCAACCTCCAATTCCTTGAAGCCAGCAATGCGCATTCACAAATGAACTCACCCACAAATGATTCAACACAAAGAATTGGTTGACGGTAACAATGATGAAATATATCAAAAAAGGAGCAAGATTTGAACTTGCAGCAACAAAAAAAAAAAACCTATGTCGACAAAATGGACTGCAGCAGAAGCTGCTGCTGTGGTTGCAAGCTGGAAAATGTTGAGGCAAGAAAATCTGGTGGCAATGTCTGCTGGAAACGCCTCAAGAGATTGACCATCCGCTTGGTTGTTTCATCTGTAGCAAGCTCTGTTCCGTTGCATAAAACCTGCAGTAGAAATCCCAAGACAGCATTCATTTATGAATTTTACAGCATCTGAGTCAAAGAAATGAAAAACAAAATGCACATAGTAATAAATAGTAGTTTTGATCCTAGGATCAGCTATGTTGCTGCTATAGCAGTAACAGCCTGAAATTGCCATGCTAATAGTACACAAAAGGTCCAAGACAAATTATCACAGAGAACCAAACTAAACCAGGAACACAGGAATCCGTCTTGATGTCTCTGTTTTCCTTTGGGAAAAGGGCCCCACACCATAATATAGGAAACAAGTCAGAAATTACCTCCGCAAAAATTGAAACAATTTTTGGAAGATATTGGCTATGAGGACCAAGAATATCTGCATCCGATCTGCACACAGACAAGGTCATTATAAACTGCAACAAAAAGTTATGATTGTTGGCATGTCATCCATAGAGAGCAGATACCTTTCAACCATTGAGGAGAGCTGATCGTGTACAACTTTTGCTTCAATCTTGTCATCTTTTATAGGCAAGCAACCAAGCCAGGCAGGAATGACCTAAAGAGCATGAATACATTGGATGAGGATAATACAACATGTATCTTTTTAGCAATATATGGTCTTACGGGAGCTGAAAACAAGGTTCAGACTAAATCTAGGGACAAGCACAACTACTGGTTTTACACTGGTTATTTAATTGGTTCAGTTTCAGCTTGAACTCCATACTCTGCAGCAGGTTTCTCAACTATTCCTTTGGAAAATCACTACTACTTTTTTTACTAAACAACCATAACTCCATTAGGACACACAACACTAGCAGGAACA